CATTGGAGTATGTGCAAGGCACGCACAGCTTTGGTCCGTTAGTAGTGGCCCAGCAGGTCACCACTACTACATGTCACTGATCTTGCCTCCAGTCCAGAGCTGACCTTTTGACCTCCCCTGGCGTATGCCCTGGACTAGAAGGTTCTTGCCCCACTAGCATACGGGTCAGTACTCCAGTCAAAGACCTTACCTGAGGGTTATCGTTGATAGCTGTGTAGTACTAGGACACAACGCATACCTAACTCTTCCCTTCCATGTAATGGTCATAGATGCCGACCATTGAAGTTTCCCATACATGGAGTGGTCACCTGAAGCTGACCACACAGCCGAGGTTTTTCTAGGGAACAGAGAAAGTCCACATCTGAAGGTATACCCTCCACCGGTTCTGTCGGATAAAGATGCATTAAGGAGTAATGCAGGATAAGTAAAAAATCTCGTAAAATCCTAGATATTTTTTATATTTGTATACTTATCCTGCATTACTGCATCTAAAGGGACTAACCCATCTCAGAGCTACCTCCCCATGATGCCTTCCAATGTTTCGGACTTCAGAGTATTGTGGGAGCTGCCTGATAGGGTTGGCCTCTCAGCTAGTTGGAACAACTTCTTCAAGCAAAGACCTTCACACAGCTCTTTTCTCTGTTAAGAACAAGCAGTAATATACATTCGGGAGTAATGCAGGATAAGTATACAAATATCAAAAATATCTAGGATTTTACTAGTTTTTGAACTTATCCCACCCCACACATCCTATGTGGGAACATGCTTGAATCATGTTTCCAGCTTCTGAAATAAAGATAGCCACCCAAGCCCCCCTGAATATCCATGGTAATGTCCAAAAGCTAGGTCAATTACCTGCCTCTCATGCACGGCGTGCCTGCTTGAACTGACCACATTTTACACCTCTACCAAATCATTCTCTTTCCGATCGCCACCGTGTGGGGACATGTTTGTAATATCAGAGAATATTGTTTGTCCTTTGCCAAGTTGTCAAGTATCCTACTGCCTATAAATATGGGGGAAAAGGACAATGTCCTGCTAGTAAACAAGAAGATGCTCCTTTTCCACGTCAGATCCTCACTGCTTATGTTGCGACCATCTGGGACAGTGCACCCTGGGTTCCAGATGTGCGGAATGTCATTCCCTAACTAATTTGGCGTTTAAAGTTTACCTGCCACGTTGTTGTTGTCGAATTGCCGATCACCATTTCAAAGCGGGGGGATTCCAAGGCTAAAACCATCTCCTGCCCTAAAGACAATTCTGACTAGCCTGTAATTTCTGTCACTGACGAGACCCTCTAAGACAGCTTCCTTACAGACGATTTATCGACTCACAACCTGTCTACCACTCCACAAGAAAATATGCAGGTCGATATGGCTCGGTCTGTTTGACCAACCCTGGTCCCGCTCTCGTTATACCAGTGACCGATTGCTCCAGTCCATTTAAAATCCTGCTCTTAGATTCGGCTTGCTCTACTCCCCCAGCTGCTAGAGGTATTACTACCTTGTGGGTCGCTTTAGATCGTCACACTTCGGTGTGACATTCACCCTCCAAGATGACAGATTGGCACTCCCATTCCCACGATCGGCAATCTCGTTCCAAGGATCGGCATTCTTGCTCCCAGGATAGTAGATCTAGCTTCTAGAATCGGCACTCTCGATCGGATCACCATTCTCGCTCCACAGCTGATATTGAATGCCCGCACCATGATCGTCATCATTCCCACTCCCGTTCGTCTTCAATTGACCACCCGTGGGACAGTTCTCTCTACGACAGAGATCGGCCATGCGTCGTGGAGTATCACCATAGCGGTTTTCCTCATGGTGGTTGATGCCTAGGCGGCTCGTCACCATTGATGGGATGCCTAGACGATCTACCATGACTCTTATTACATGCATCCCGGATACCGTTACTCATGGTTTCCTGACTACCGCTCGATGGCTACGCCTACCTGCCTCACAGTTCTTAGGATCGGCGTTTGTCATCGTATAGAGAACGCGATTGTCAAAGTTATTCCTGGATCCCTTCTCATTGGGCGCACAGATTGCCGATTCATAATCCCTCGAGGTGGGCTCCTCCGGACCCTTCTCCAGTTATCCTACCCCCAAGTTGGGATCAACAACAGATTTTGGAACCATTGTTCGAATATCTTGTGAAAGCGATATCCAGTGTCATCCTTCACCATTCGGATCCTTCATCGACTCCTTCATCGACACCTTCATCGACTCCTTCATCGACTCCTTCATCGACTCCTCAACCTACCAATCCGGTTCAGGTTTTGGTAGCCTCCCGCTTGATCCCTCTTGGATCGGGTGGTTCGGCCTCTACTTTGGGCGATTCCAGTCTCTAGGCACAACCAACTGACAGTCCATACTTGCCATGCGTTCTTGACAATCCCTCGTCACTGGGAGTTTTGGACCCTCGGACCCTGAATTGGTCCTGCATTGGATCGCTGATAAATTGCAGTTACAGCGGACGATTTCAGCTGCAGATCGGTTCACAGGATTTGCAGTTCCATTGGCTAGCTCGTCCAATATCATGCTCCCACCCAGACGAGTCTTTCTGGACGTTAACTCTAATCTGGATACGGTTCTCGCGTCCTTTCGTCTCCATGTGCCCCGCTTCGTTCTTGAAGATACAAGCACTCATGGCATGGTGTACTGCAACACTCTTCCTGGGACAAAAAAGTTCAAGGCCAAACTGTATCAGCAACCCTGGTCTTCCCGCTCCTTGTTTGCTGATGCGATACAACAGGTTGCATAGGATGTGCAGAGAGACTCTAGCCTTCAGGTCACTGTGGCACTTTTACATCTCCAACAAAGACAATTTGAGGATCAAGAGAAAAAGGATAGCCAATAAACAATCGTTCCAATGGATTTGCCAACTTTATTGAGCCCCGGAAGTAGACCTTTTCGCCACCCCCTTCAACGCTCAACTATCCCGATTTGTATCTCCCATCACCGACCCTTGAGAGAACAACGCTTTGGCGATCTCGTGGGAAGGTCTCAATGCCTACGCCTCCTGACAGGGCTCCTCCCCTGAGTCCTGCATAAGGTAGCAGCCACCAATCACCTGTCTCTGATTTTGGTCGCGCACTATTGGCCAATGCCAGGTTCCCCACCTTGCTAAGGTTTGCTGACGAACGATTTCATCGTCTTCCGCTCCACGACGACCTCTTCCTTCAACCTCACTCTCAGTACCTCCATCAGTTCCTGACAACGCTCCATCTTTGCATTTGGCGCATCTGCAGAAGTCCCTCGTCGCAAAAGGCTACTCCCAGTGGGTAGTGAAGACCATCACTTCTGCCCTTCATTCTTCCACCAGGTGCCTTTTTGACCAAAAATGATATTTCCACTCCTACCTTCGCCTTGCCAAAACAGAACACCAAATATTTACATCACCTGCGTTCGACTCAGAAACCTCGGGGATCCAGGTTGGCAACCTACCTCGAGGATATTAACTCCTTCATTGCCACCACTTCCAGTGTGAACGTTTCTATGGTTACGGAGCTACAATCGCTCATCCCTTCCTACAAATTAGCCAACCAAGCCGCTCGTTATCCTATCTCATACATGATAGGCCCACCTGACCACACCTGCATTTCATTTACTCTAGCCTTATAGCTCTGCGAAAGACAATGATTTGGTAGAGATGTACCTGTGGTCAGTTCAAGCAGGCACACAGTGCACGAGAGGCACGTAATTGACCTAGCTTTTGGACGTAACCATGGAGATGCAGGGGGGGCTTGGGGAGCTATCTTTATTTCAGAAGCTGGAAACATAATTCAAGCACGTTCCCACATAGGATTGAAGAAGAAGGCAGAAATGTGAGATAGGATAAGTATATAAATGTACAATTTATACTAAAATTTCCCCAAAAAATTGTCACTTAAATACTGCCAGAAATCAAGAAAAAAAACAATCAAGAGTAAAGTTTCAAAACGCATGCAAATTTTTATCACTTGACGGGGCCTGAACATCAAAACAACACCGTCCAAAAAATCAACATATCAAAGGGGGTCTTGAATGACAACAAAACACAAACTAAATGGATATGAAACACTTCCCTATCTCCTTAATAATATACAAATTTCAGATCACAAACAATTATATTTTAGATGATATTTGCCTTTAGATCAGGTTTTTCACAAACTTATCCTCCTGCAAAAATAGCCACCATTTGAGAATTACGAATTTTGAACTATCTTAGGTGGCCAGACAGCAAGTTGGATTAAGAGTTTAGAATAGGCTACGATACTCTTGCTTCCAGATTCGTTTCATTGAAAAATGTGACTAATCATTCAAATGTAACTCATAAATATTGTGAATGGCAACAGTCTTTTCGTCTGAAGCTATGTTAATTCCTGGTATGCCTTCTCTAAATTTTTCAACTGGTGAAGTAAGCAATATGTAAAGATGTGTCACCATTACTACCATTGTCCAAGGAAATGGTACCAATGTTTTCATTGATCAAACTCGATTGCCATTGGCAGCAGGAACTTGTGGTAGTTGTCCTGTGGATAGTTGCAAGATTATATCTGAGTTGTATAGTTGTCACCCAGACGTTTATGTATGTTTGTTTGGTATGTAGTTTGAAGATTTGAAGATTCTCAAGTATTGAATTTGCATTATGTAAATCAAATGTGTATCAAACATGAGATGTCATTAACAAGTGTCAAGTGATAGGCTGCCTTGCATGTATTTAACCTTAGACATTGTTGAAGTGAAGATTTTCAGTCTGTTCATATTTCTCTGCTTTTTCTATCACCTGGTCCAAAACCCTTAATGTCAGCCTTCATGTGGTTGATACAATTGCTTGCTAGAAGTCATATCTCAGTTGCTGATAATTGAAAGTTTACAAGTGTGTTTACTACCTTGATGTGTAGGTTTGTTTAGAGCACCAGGACTAGAATCAAAGTAATTCTATCCTTGAGAATTGTCCATCAAATATGGTTGATGAATATTTATGTTGCCTGCATTTGAATTTACCTGTTTGTGCAGGTGAAGTGGCAGAACTGGACAAACTACTCACTTTCACCCTGAGTGAGGGGATATCTGGCTTGATGGGACTTGACAGAGAAAAATTTCACAATACACTTTCTTCAATCAAAGCAGGTATTGCATACACTTTTCTTCTATTTCTCACTGTCAGATGCAAAACTGGGTAGCAGGAAAGAAAGACCTTTGACAAAAATTGAAGGCTCTAGCCAGAATACTCACAACAAAATACTGGAGTGGATAGGTTCTAGCCAGAATACTCATAACAAAATACTGAAGTGGATATTTTGAAGTGAACCATGACAATCTTGCCACATGACAGATATGTTGGAATTAGTTGGAACATCTACATGTGTAGACATTTGCAGTTCAATTACTGATCAGGTTTAAAGGGAAACAACACTCCAACTCTCAGTAGTCTAATTAGCAAGGGGGAAATCCCCTTAAATCCTTGCATTTCATTGGATGATGTTTACTATAACCTTTCACCTTGCAAATTTGTCTGACATATGTACATGTATGTGTGTATGTACAGTTATGTTGTTTATATGCGTACATATTATTTTTTCAACAATAAAGTTCAGTTCAATTACTGAAAACAGCAAGGATCCTTATTTTCCGGCAAATTGCATACAATACGTCTCCCTTCTTGTCATCCATGTTTCATGGTATATCCCTACTCCTGTGTCCTTGTTGTCATTCACTTAATAACATTTAGCAGTAATTCGCTAGATGGGTTTATAGGCAGCATTTATCTTACATTCCACCATTTATTCCCTCTATAAGTAAGCCTACTTTTAACAGACAAAATTCACCTCGCACATGTAATCCCCCATTTACTTCCGTGTTTATCAGCAACCGGCAATTACGTCACTTCCGTACATTCACTTCTAATCTATAACTGTTCGCCCCGCCGTTTCAAATTCTTTCTTAAACTCAACTACCGCGACTACCATGCCTCCCAAGCGTAGAGCAGCTCTCAATCATACGCTCGTCAAAGGCCGGGCCAAGGCGGCTAGGCGGAGGGTGGGGGAGTTTCGCGGGTTTGTTGCCATCCCCTCGACCGCGGCTCCTCGCCCAACAACAACTACTCTCCTGACAGCAGCGCCCGGAGAGTTTCGCAGGAGTGGTGCCAACCCTGCCCAACAACAGCTTTTCCCTCAACAACAGTACCACAAAGTCACCCCACAGCCGTCACGGTGGCACGGGAACTTCAGGGATCCGGCTCACCTTTGCCTTCATTTGTCACCCCCATTGCCGTGGCTGAAAACAATCAAGGTATGTACCCGTTTAATGAAAACGTTCACCATGTCAACATAATGCCTGAAATGCTTCTCTCACAGGTTAACCAAATACCTATCGCCAACCCCCTCACACAATTCAACCCAGCTTATCAAAATGCCAATCAACCAAGCATAAATGCACAATCCATTAGTCAAGGGCACGAAAACCTGGCCACGTTGCCGCAGGCTCATGGAACCATCATAGCTTCTCAAACTGCTTATCAGCCAACTATCAACGCCTCAACCCAGTTAGCCAGTAATCAACAGCTAAATTTCAACGCCGAAAACATTGGGTTTCACGTAAAACAGGCAATTAGGGAAAAAATACACCGGGGAGACTTCATTGACATGATGGGACTTAACGTTGTTACCGCTAGATAGACAGCCAACACAGGAGGGATCAAACTTTATCATCGAACTGGATTCATCAGGCCAGGTAACCTTCAAACCCAGGCAACAGCCATCCAAGCCTCTTAATATCAGGTCTTGGACATCAGCCTTTCTGACATTCATCAGCATCGTCATAGAGCGAAACTCAACCATCAACAAATTGCAGGAGCTGCTCACCTATGTCGAGAGGATCCGTGGTGCTGCTGCTGCACGCTTTTGGGATGACTGTTGGGCACAATATGACATACAGTTTCCCCATAAAATCAAGAGGGACCCTTCCCGGTCATGGGGTACAATCGATGGGCAGCTATGGCTGCAGCTGATGCTACCCAACCAGAGGCAGCACAACATAACACCCTTAAGGTTTTCTAACCAGGTACAGCGCCTGTCAACACCAGCCGAAATTTGTAGGAACTTCAGTCGCGAAGGATGCGATGGGGCAGTCATGACGGTACGCGCACAAATGCCTGTCATGCAACATCGGCGGCCACGGAGCTACATCTTGTTTTCGTGGATGCAAGCACCAGCACCAAAGCGACCGGCAAAACTTCCCATCAAAAACACATTGTAAGGCACCAACCCCAATTAATATTTCACGGTTAGAACAATGTCTACAACGTTCCGAGTTAATAAATCCAGCAGCGGCCTTGTTACTAAAACTAGGTTTCTGTCACGGTTTTAGCTTACAGTATCAGGGTCACCGGGAACCACGCGATGCTATGAACCTTAACTCCACTAACTCTCTCCCACATGTTGTCAAGGAAAAGCCAAAAGCTACAAAAAGAAATTAAAGCACTGGGGCAATAATGGTAAGTATAATAACTGTAAGATATTGCTGTAATAATATTAAGATATTTCTGTAGCCTCTTCCTCTTTAGCGTCAGTCATGGCGTCACACAGGACAGAATTCACCACATCATTGTTATGTATATATTTGAAATTCCATAATTAGTGCAACGATACTCTTCCCATGAATATTCTCAAACGCGTGATCGAGCCAATCTATGCAACAATTAGACGAAAGTACCTCCAAAAATGCTACACAGTGTAAAATCGGAATTTTGCTTGTTTACATTTCAGCAAGTACAGTTTTCCGAGCACAGTATTTGTTTGCACACCTAATTTATTTCGCATGATTTCATCTAGATAATTTGCATTGATGACAAAGACCACTTGTCATTTGTTTGTAAAATGTATGAGGAATTCAGGGATGCATGAAAGCAGCTGAGTTTGAAATATACCTGATCAAATAGGCGTCTCATAACCCGGCATTTTGTAAACACAATTCAATATGGCGGAACGTACACTTCGGCATTCGTGTATGCGTATTTTCCAAAACATTCTTAAAGATTCTAGGCTATCAGCGACGATTCAAAATTATCATTACTGATTTGATACCCGTCATCACTAATATGCTATTTTTCTACTTTAATTTTTCGAGTAAATATCTGATATTTAGATTTCTAAACACACAGTATACCCTCTGGAAAATAACGCCGTGAACTGTGATTTGGCGAGCTTTACGATGTAGATCTACCTAATTTTCAGAAGCCACTTCATTTGTAAATTTGCTTTGCCTAAAATGACAGTAAATGATAAACAGAAGGGGGAATACAAAACTGTGATGTGTATTAGTTTGTGTGATGTATTTTGAATTTTATTCGACTTGGAAGTGAGTGTTGAAGAGGAGGGACAATTCACTCTAAAAAATGATAACGTTGACATAACAACAGATAATGTAACAGATAATAATAACAAACAAACTCGCAGACGAGGACGAGTTTGTTTATTATTATTTTTATTATTAATTACACAGTCCTGTTGTTCAATACAGACGTAGGTGAACATTCGACTGAAGCACGAGCAACTTATGAATGACTTACACTCAGGAAAGTAGTCCGTCATCATCTGACCTCAGGTCATCACCATGGATTAGCCAATCACAGGCCTGGAATTCGATCTCACACATATGTTTGATACCAGTTATCTCAAATGGGTTTCTCAGCCACAGGTGTGTAAGAAAGTGCAGTCGATCAATAAAACATGTCTTTCTCAGGTTGGTAAGATTGTATTTGGCATACAAATTAATAGAACACACAGCAAAACAATACAAAATAATAATAAGAGCAAGTAACAAGAAAAGAAAGAAAAATTTAATAGGCCATGATGTGTTTTTTTAATCCAACGAAACAGACCTAATGGTTATTACAGACAAGTTTGTTAAAAATGTTTTGTTTATTGTTTAACGGCACACTCAGCAAAATTCCAGCTACATGACAGCGGACTGTAAATAGTCGAGTCTGGACCAGACAATCTAGTGAGTGACATCATGAGCATCAATCTACACAATTGAGATACGATGAAATACATCAAGCAAGTCAGCGAGCCTGACCACTCGATTCCATTAGTTGCCTCTTACCACAAGCATAATCACCTCTTACCACAAGCATAGTCGCCTCTTATGGCAACATGGGTTGCTGAAGACCAATTCTCACCCTAAGTTAAAGTAATCATTACTTATTTACAATATATAAGATAATTAATAGTCAATGTTCATCATATCTATATCTTCCTACAGTACATGAACTTATTTTTTGAAAATACTACTTTCTTAGAGTGAATGTCTGCAGTTTTAAAGCTCTTTCTTTGTCCTGGCTTTCTGGCTGTCTGTTGTGTCTTTGGAATGTTGAGGCGACCATCCGACGAAACAGTATTGCTTTGTTGACATCTGGGGACATGCAGGAATTTTTGAAAATGTCTGTCTTTCTCCTGTTGGCTTTTTGATGTCCAGCAGACATTAGACAATTTCAAGCCATCCAGGGTGTCAGCAAATTTACATTGTATCCTTCAAAGACTAAGATATGACCACCGCCTCAGTTTGAAAAAAATAAAATTGTACAGGGTTAGCAAATTCAACATTTAAAAAGAATAGTGGTGTATGTAAATATTTTCTTGCTATGTGTTATTTTTTTCACATTTGTTTCAGTAGTAATTTAACTTCACATCTCACCCCTTTTCTCAATGCTTTTGAGATTTGTGTTCGATAATATTTTTTATTCAGGGGTGAGCAATAAGGCTCATAGTGAAAAATTAAACGGTATTCATGATTTAAGGGAGGAGGGGGTTGGTGCCCTCATTAAAGGCACTTTATTCTAATTAATACACAAACACAATTATATAGAATACACTTTATTATTATACGCCCCCAGGCTTTATTTAGTAGGACTGCAATCAGTGGTTCGCATTTGGCATTTCTGGTGTCTGGGGTAATTATTTAATCTAAGATTGGGTTATAAAACCAGGTCTGATGCATTGAATGTATTACATGTTATGTAATATGCATGTGACAGCGCAGCAAGAGAGGAATGGTCAGTTGAGTTGCAAAAAACATCAATCAAAGGATTAATCCATAATATGTGGATTTATTAATCACTGTTATATTGC